CCCCAAAACCCCAAAACCCCAAAACCCCAAAACCCCATAAATACTCCCACATAAAGAAAACTATATTTCCCCAAAATCCAAAATGAGCTTACCCAAATGCACCCTCACAAATTATTGCGGCAAAGTTGCATTTCTTATTAAGAAGAACTCCCAGAACAGCTTAGAGCATGATCTCTTGGTGTGTGATAAGTGCACTACCACTTTTTATGCAAGTGAGCAGGCTGTACAGGTGCCTGAGTTTGAGACTGTGCTTGAGTGCTTGAAGATAGGTCAGATAAGAGTCTGGGTGGATTAAAGATTGTTTTGGGGGATTTTTGGGAATTTAGTTTATTTTTTTGATAGCTGAGTTCTGATTGGTGGAAATTGAAGACTTCAGGAGATCATATGAGCTTGATGCCTTTTGGATGAAGTTGATACCAGAATTGCAGGCTTTTGAAGGTCATATTAAGATGATAAAAGGTAAGAAAATATGATTTTTGTTTTGTTATTCTCTAAAATTTCTCATGATTGTTTTAAGATTGTTATAGCTTTAAGCTTCTAAGTTGTAAGAAATCTTTTGGCTTTGGTTCTGCTTTTCTTAGAAGCCTATCTAATAGAACTTAGGATATCTATTATAAGCCAAATTTCTAAATCAATTTTCATCTACACTTTTTAACAACTTTAATAAGGAAATTGGCATGTTTATAATAATTTCGGAATGTAAAGATACCAATTTTCTGTAGAAACTTTACAAATCACAAAAAATGCAAGAAATTGGCAAGATCTTGGCTACATCCATGATGAAGCCAAAGATTTATTCAACTCCATTCTTGAGTCTAAGCTCATGAAGGAGTATATCAGACAAAAGAACTGTCATAAATTCAGGGACAACACAAGTAAACCTGACCAAATACCTACCCTCTCTGATGAATGGCTGATCAAAAAGTTCTTGTGGTTAAAGAACCACACTCAAAGCTCTGAAGAAATAAATCGACTCATTGCTAAAATAAGAAGCAAAGAAGACATTATTAAGAATAAAAATGAGATTATCAAGCAACAAAATGAGCAAATTCAAAACCAAAGGGAAGAAATTCTTGAATTGAGAAACACGAACAGTTCCTAGCGTAGAATCTAATCAGGAAAAACTAAACGCAAATGCACAGGAAAGCTCTAAACTTCATGATAAACTTGAAGAAGCTAATGATTATATCTGAGAGCTCGAGGATCAATTAGGAGCATGGGAAAAGAAGCATTATCATGAGATTACTCAGCTTAAGCTCAAATATGAGAGAGATATTGAAGACATCTATAGTGATTTTCATGATCAAATTATGAGAAAAGATCAAAGATCCATCCAAATCAATTATAAATATAATAAAAAGGGATCAAAGCACAATAGAAAGAGAAAGAATTGTAACATGCTTGATGCTGAGATTAAAAATATTAGCAATTCTGCAGAGAAAATCTATGAAACTATCAAAAATACTCTGAAGAACTAGATGAATCCTTTTTACAAAAAGTTGTTGAGTTCAGAAACACTTTAAATGAATCCCTTCCGACCAGCTCCTTCAAAAAATTACCTCAAAAGATATAGGATCAAGTGGACTTAATATTAAATTCATTTACAAATGCCACTCACTCCCTACAAGAGCAAATCCCAGATTTTATTCTTCATCAAGACAGAATAACCAAGTTTGCTAGGGATATTGCAATATCCTCAGGCAAGATTTAAAAGACTCATGATCAATAAAATACTGCTGAATATCTAATTTCATACTAGAAACTCAAGAAAACTAATATTCCTCAATTTAGTAATTAAAAAAGGGGTTTTGGGGTTTTGGGGTTTTGGGGTTTTGGGG